CAAAGGTATTGCTAGCTTTTCTAAAACACACTTCTAAAAGCGACAGAAACTGGGTTATGTGTGAGAACACGCTCCAAAAGGTTACCCAGGGCCATCCTGACCTAACACCCAGTAAGAGGATGTTTTGCCTGAGACACCTGGAGCATGATACAAGCCAATATCAGGGAACATGTAAGATAGAACATAAGTTGTTTGTCTCAGTCTATAAATGTTGGTGTACTCGCCTTCACCCTTTGTGTGGCCAAAGAGACAGCAGAAATTCCCGCTGCTGACTGGCACTCATGTTAGTGTGCCTGTAACCATGGAGCCAAGGCACTAGTACTGTGCCTCGAGGGCACTAAACCTGGTCGAGTGCCTTGGTCACCAAACCGAGTCTGTGGTCTTTGAGGAGTGCTATCAGGGTCGGCTGAGTCAACTATCTGCACGGGGCTGGGCCAGCATACAGAGAACACACGCACCTGCCAACACTCAGAATCCCACAGGGTGTCAACGTCGCGAGTGGAGCATCACGGTGAGGACTCAGCTGAGGGTGTTGCTGAATCACAGACTAACTGAAGCTTTCGCCATTATAAGATCCGCTCCTTTGGCCATTGTTTCAGGATATTTGGGTTTCTGGATAATTGCCTCCAGACCAGGCAAGGGCCAATCTCCACAGAAAACAGGGCTCATTCGTGGCTTTACCACAAGGCCTGATCACAGGGCAGTGTGTTATGCTGCTCCTAGAGAACTCTTGAAAGTCGTTTGTCGTGAGTTCCCTCCAAGGCACAGTGGACTTCCCTCACCGTGCTGGTGCAGCAGGTATGGTAGCCAGCTCATTAGGGGAATAGAGTCAAAGCTCTGCTCCCTCCCCAACCAATCACACCCATGTGCATGGGGTGGGGCACTGGAACCCCCGCGAGGCAGCTCTCCTCCCCACACTAGTACTGGTCATGTCCGTAGCCCGTACAAGGAGACACCTTGTTAACAGGTTTTGTGTGACAGTGAGTTGGATGAAGAAGGGGTAGGTATGGCTTTTCAGTATGTGCTGTAGATGGTGGTATGGATGCCTCCTGGAGTGTTATCAACAGCAATGTAAGGTTGACAGGGAATACTGGACACTTCCTTTTACCATGCTTGGAGCATGTCGTAAGGCAACTTTAACTGCTGATCCACTGAGTTTGTGTTCACATGCACAATCCACAGATAACACAATAGTGGTGGGCAGGCAACACAGACATTCTAGGTTTTTCTTCCAGAGATGGGCTATGCTGCCCATCTCCAATCTATCCACGGGGGGTTTAAAATTAGTGTCCCAGATACTAAATGATGAGGTGATATCTATGTTCCAGAGATGCCCCCAGGAGTGAACACTGACCCGTTTTGCATGAGTTCTGAGAACACCGAGGCCCTGACTTATGGCACCTGCCCCTTGTCAGACACGAGTTAGTCAGATATACGGAGGATGCTTTGTCAGATGCAGCCGTGTCAGTGGTATGCCCGCTGCCAATTCAGTGTCACATACGCACACTGGAGTAATGGTGTCTACTGACCCCCCGTCCCCCACTTTCATTCGATAGCCACCTCACTTTCATTTTCACTGCCTCAGGGAAGAGGAAGTGGGATCAGAGTAGCCCCTACTCCCACTCATTCCAGTGATTGAGGAGTTAGATTGATCTCAGCTACATCTGTTCATCAGATTGAATCAAGAGGCACTGCTTGGGCTGGGTGACAGTGGAGACCAACTAGGCCACTTTGTTCAGTAAGCCCAACTAGTGGGGGGGATGGGGAGGGTAGTAGAAAGAGGAGTGAACTTGCTTCATACCAGAAGGGGCACATTGCAGGGGTGCCTAGTAGTAAGTTGGGCCCTGCATGACTCAGCCAAGCCCCAAGATCGAAGACCCATGGTCAGTCCGTTCCCCACCTCCACCCACACTGCTGCTGCGAAGAGCAGGCTTCTGATTAAAGATGCCTTAGTTTTCAGACCTTCTTGGCTGATTTTTCAGACCTTTCATCGAC